GATTCCCTGGAGAAGGGAATGGCTATCCACTCCAGTATTCTTGCCTGGAGAATTCCATGGACAGAGGAACCTGGCAGGTTTCAGTTCATGGGGTTGCAAAGTGTCTGACATGACTGAGTGACTGACACTTTGACTTTGTATCTGTTAATGCATCATGTGTGCTCAGTTGTGTCCAACTCTTTGAGACCCCGTGGATTGTAGCCTGCCAGGCGCTTCTGTCCATGGGATTTTCGAGGCAAGAATATACTGGAGGGGGGTTGCCATTTCCTCCTCCAGAGGATCTTCCTGACCCATGGATCGAACCTGAGTCTCCTGTGTCTGCTGGATTGGCAGACAAATTCTTTACCACTGTGCCATCTGGGAAGCCTGTTGATGCATCATAGATGTTAATTACTTAAATTAACATTATATGCTCATGTGTATCTGTTGGGAGTAAATTTTAGGTGAAAACTGCAGGAAGGGAAGGAGAATTTCTAGTTAAAAGGGATGGTAGACTTGTGATGAACCAGAGTGGAAAAGAAAATGAAAAAGAATGTATATGTACGTATAACTGAACTACTTTGCTGTATAGCAGAAATTAATACAACATTGTAAATCAACTTCGTTGAAAAAGAAATTTTGAAAAAATCTAAAACCTTATAGGAAGTTGGAAGGAAAATTAAAGGATACCCTTTAATCTGCAAAAAAAGAAAAGAAAAAAAAAAGAAGTATATGGTTTTGCAAGTAAGCCTCAGGCAAGGAAGAGACAGCTGATGGAAGCAACCTGAGGTCTAGCCCAGATTACCAGCCCCCAGGCCTGGATAGTGGGTGAGGGTATGAGGGAGGAAGAGGTTGAGAGGCAGACTGAGACTTGTGTGAGTGGGGTCAGGGGATTTGTATGCAGTTTTCTGGATGGTTCAGGGTGAAATCTCTCAGCTTACAGAGTGCCATGTGCTGATGTCTATATCAAATATCTCTGAAGGTTCTCAGTTTCTAGGTCAAGAGTCAGTATGTGTCTGTCTTTAGGGCTAGATGTGCACACCCTAAAATAAGCAAACCAATCAGAGTCCAGGAAAACTGATTGCTACCAGTGTTCATATACTCTTTCCTAAAGTGTTATGCTAGGAAAACTCCTCATGGTGAGCAGCAGCACCAGAGTGTCTCTATTAACCTGCTTTATGCCTAAACACACAGGGATGTTACATGTTCAAGGACTGAAGTGAAAAGCAGTTCACTGGAATGTAGATGGTCATTATCAAGTACAAAACATATTTTAATGTAAAACTGTATTTTTAAAAAGGCACTCTAATTCTTGAGGCTATAAAGGATATATTGATTCTCAAAAGTCTTTGTCTTCAGTTGTAGCTGTTTGATTAACTGGTATAGGCACAGTCCATGAATAAAATTCCTTTGTAAATTATATTACCTAAGGATTTTATAACACAAAGTTGATTTTCAGAGGTGTCCCCTAGACTCATTAATTGACTTTCTTCACTCCCATTAAACAGGCCTGGGGATGGAGGCAAAGGGGCCACTTTTCCCACTGATAATAAACATAACTCAGGGAGATGCAGAGGAAGATAATATATTCTGTAACCATGTCATTTAATACCTTCTAAACCTTTGCCCCTTTCAGAAAGAAAACAGTGGCTACCTCTATAATATCTGCTTCAGCTTTTCTTTACAATTTGTAATCGGTTTCCCACATGGAGTTTAAACTTTGCTTGCTACATTGGTGCAGATGTGGCCAAGAACTTCTGATCTGTGAAGTTAATTAAAAGGTTCAATCTTATTTTTTGAAAATGGTGACCCCAGACTCTATATACTTGATTGGGAATATGCATGTAGATGCATGTATATATATTCATGTATGAATATGCACACATGCTACATATGCACATATGGAGAGAAAAAAATAAATAGAAAGTGAGAGTTCTTGGAACAAAAGAAGTGAGAAAGGTATGAAAAGGGAGGGGAAGGGAATTAGCATTCATTAAGCTCCTACATTGAACCAGGCACCTAGGAAAGAAGGTGATGGGGGGAATCAAAGATGGAGGGATGCAACTACCTGGATACTAAAGAATGAACTTGTAAAAATCTCCTTCCCTAAAGGAAACTGCTACAAAAATGGATGCTGGCAGCCCATCAGAGAATCTTTGTCAAGCCACTCAGAGGAGAAGAGAAGGCTGTGGGGCACTGATTTTGGCTTTGTCTCCCCTAGGTTCTGGGCTGCTGACTCACCATGAGATGAGTTATCTTTGAAGTTCTGCTGAGCAGTCTAGATAGTGTGACATAAAAGTGCAAGTCCCTAAACAGAGTTCAGTTTCCCAGCATACAAATGTTCAGAGAACCATATGAGGTCAGAAAAAACCAGCTCAAGAGATTTCCCTTTAAACTCTAGAGAATGCTAGTTGTCTCCATAATTAAAAGGATCCTAAATGGAAGGCTATATATCAGACATTTCTAGGCATTGGTATAATTTTTTGTGTTCAATTTTAAAAATTGGGGGTCTTTAAAATTTCTGCAGTTGTGTCTTCTGAGTCTCCTGATGAGCAGAGGTAAGGGTGACCTTGTAGAGTCCCTGGGTGGGTGGGAGCTGGGTTCAGGTCCAGCTGAGCTTGGGACATGACAAAGAGAATGAAAACAATAGCCATTTTACAGAACTTGAAGGTAAGTCTTTGAAAAGTGTTTGGGAATTCCCGGCCAATTATACATTTGCTTAGATGTCTTTTTAGCTTTTTCTACTCCCACTGCCCTAATATCACATCAGATGTTCTCAGCATCATTAGACTTATTATGGGAACCTCTCTACCTCCATTTGCATTTGGGGACAGACTGCAATCATTTGGTCCAATTCTATACATTTTCTATACCTATGATCCTTGTCATGTAACTTTACAGTGCTCTCTACTGTGGGCTAATGACCTGCTCAGCCTTTTGACCTTGGGTTCGGTTATATGATTTACTTTGTCTATAGGATGTTTAGGAAATGTGATGCAAGTAAATGCTTGAAATGGTCTTGTACACTGGAGTTTGTTCTTCTGCCAGGAGAAGAATGATAGAATATGAGCCCCACCAAACTCACAGTGAATCAACCCAGTTAAGACAAGTAGAGCCACTCAGATCAACCCACGTGAAAAGAGCTGAACCCTGTAAATGCAAGATAAATAAATGTTTACTGTTGAATGTCACTGGGATGCTTGTTACACAGCAAAAGCTAGCTGATACAAGTGTCGCTTGATCCACACTCTTCTTGCCTGTCACAGTGATATTTCTAAAGTGAAACTTTAATTATCCTAAAACTACTCTGCCTCAGATACTTCAATGACTTCTGTTAGTGATGTTTTCCTTAATTCACATGTTGAATTCCTAACCCCCAACACCTCCAAATCTGACGATTTTGGAAATAGGGTCATTAAAAAATGTAATTAGAAAAAAAAATGTAATTAGTTAAGCCAAGATGAGGTAATACTGGAGTAGGGTGGGTTCCCTATTCCAATAAGACTGGTATCCTTATAAAAAGGGGAAATTTAGAGACAGACATGCTCATAGGGAGAATGTCATGTGAACATGAAGGCAGAGATTAGGATGATGTATCTACAAGTCAAAGAACACTAAAGTTTGTCAGAAAATCACCAGAGGGTCAAAATTGAGGATAGAACAGATTCTTCCTCACAAATTTAGAAGGAACTAATTGTGTCTATACTTTCATCTCAGACTTCTAGCCTCTACAACCATGTGCTATGAGCTAAGTCACTTCAGTCATGTCTGACTCTTTGCTACTCTATGGACCATAGATCGCCCAGCTCCTCTGTCCATGGGATTCTCCAGGCAAGAATACTGGAGTGGGTTGCCATGCCCTCCTTCAAGGGAGCTTCCCAACCCAGGGATGGAGCCCACATCTCTTATGTCTCCTGTATTGGCAGGTGGGTTCTTTACCACTAGCGTCACCTGGGATGTAAGAATAAATTTCTGTTGTTTAAGCCACTCCTCATTACCTTTGGATAAAGTCTAAACTTCTTCATGAGGTACGAAAGTCCTTCCATAAGCTGGTCTCTGGCTGTGTCTGTGGTTTTATCCCACAAAATATTCCACTATAACTTCAGCCTTTCCCCATTCACTAGTCACTTAGAACTATTTAAAGTGTTCGATTAACTGCTTCAGAACTCATGTCCATGCTATTTATACAACCTTTGCCTCAAATGTCCTTCCTACTACCCTCTCATCCCTCACCATTGCAAGCTCCAGATTGGGCTTATCATCTCTGAAAACACTCTCTTCAGTAACCATGGGAGGAGGCCCTACTGAATTTTCCTCAAACAACCTATACAGATATTTCTATCACAGTACTTACCACACTGTGGATAATTAATTGCTCATTGCACATCTTGATCCTCCTCAACAGACTTGAAAATGAACCACTTTAGGCAGGGTCAGGTATTATCTGCCCTTTCATTCCTAGTACTTAGCACGGTGCTCGGCACAGAGTGGTTATGCAGCAAATGTTGGTGGAAAGAATCTTTGAGTGTTTATGTGCAAATATTGAAACAGATGTGTTCCTGGCATATGGGAGATATATTCTGCTTGTGTGACAATTGGCAGTTGAGTTTACTTGGAAGCAAAAGCACCCAATTAAAGACTAAACATTCCTGTCTTTCTTCTTCTTCATTTCCTTCTCTATATATAACTACCCAATCTCACATGCTTTACAATGCTTTTAGATGTAAGTGACTGTGAATTATTACTGACTGTGGGCCTTTCATCTTCAAGACTGACAGTCTATGTTCCACATTTCTCAGGATGGAAAGACTATTATAACTATGTTTTTGCTTACCAAGAGAATTGTTAATAGTTATCCTGAAGGAAGAAAAAAAAATCCATAAATATCCAACCTATAATGAAGCCTTAAGCTTACTTTCTTCCTTTGCTAATGAAATTCTTTCTGGGTGCACTGCCAGAATTGCTCCATAATCATTACACTGAGAAAAGAGGCAAAGCCTGTAGTGAGTTTCTTCTTTTACCTGTTTAGTCCTCATTTTGGAATCCGATGACAGGTTGTTGTAGGTATAATGTGCCTGCGTGACTCCACAGAAGAGAACAGCAACTATTCCTGAAATTTAAAAACATACCAGTCAAAATCAATTTTCTTTCCCATCTAAGTCAAAGGGCAGGGCTATCCCAGTTAGAAAATGGACTTGGTGTCAGGAGAGTTAAAATTGCTAATAATTAGAATGATGAAACCTGGGTAAATCTTGCTCCTACCTTAAATGTGGGACTTAAAGGATTAAAGCTTAAAAAAAAAGTATTAATAAGTAGATTCTTCCTGGGGATAAATTATTTTCTAGTCATGAGTTAGGAAAGTTATACTTGGAAACCCGTGAACAAAAGACTGTGTAGTCAGTTCCAGGCCTCTCACCACCTGTGCCAACTACTTTGCTGCGTTTTAAATGCTGGCATACTTGCTGAGAACTTTGCTTTCCACTGTGTACCTTGAGGAGCCTGAGAAGTTCCTATCATACCACAATTTAGTATTAACAACCATAAGTCATAAACCTAAGATGTCTACAAGGGTTCAGTTGTCTCTGCCAATGCTCCTCCTTGCCAAGCACCGAAAGAGGTCCTTGTTTGCCTCTATGTCTCCGTGGCAAATCTGGGGGCTTTGTCCTTCCACTGCTGGGTAATTTCATGAACACATTCAAGGCACGCAATCCTTGAGGCAAGCTGGTCTGTTCTTGTGTGCTTCCTGTCCACAGTGGGCCCTCAGCTGCTTTTTGGCTGGTTGTAGGATTTATTTCATAAGCCATCATTATACTCAGCTTCGAATGCTACGTGAAGCTACACATAGACTAGAAGCCATACATACACTGTTCCTGGGAAACAGAGCAGCAGCAACCATGGAACAAATGTGTTATTTGTCCCTGGGCTCTGTTATTCTCTGTTATTGCCCTTAAGCTGGGGTGGGGAAGGGGGGTGGGGGCTGCATCCTACCTTCGATTAAAGATTTGATTAATTATGGATAATTGGGAGGGCTCTATAGGAGGGCTTTGGGAAAAACACAAGATGTAAGCATTCCTCAACTCAAACCAAGGGGATTGAACTGAATTTTAAACAGCAGAATCTTTCCCTCGAAAAACACTCATAAGTTAAATGCTGATGATTCTTAACAGTATAGAGATATGTGAACTGAATACTGACATTTCAAATGAATCTGCAGTAAAGAATTTTAAAGAACCAAGCATATTTTTTGTATGTTGACTGCATGCTTCTATTTATGTTGGTTATTTTGGGGGTTGGCTTTTGATAAAATACTGCTAAGACATATTTGTCTAATACATTTGCATCACTTATTTCCTTTTAATACTATGCTTCAAAACTTTAGTCAAAAATAATAAAAACAACTAGGAAATTTTGCCAAGAGATTTATATGCAATAAGCATTTATACAGATTTTTTTGGTAACTTCAGTTTTCTAGTCTCTCTTCAAAAATTCAAAAAAAATGCCTATGAAATATTACATTTCACTCTTCACAGAATTTCTATTAAAAAACAAGCAGTGCCAGAGAAACTTTTAGGTACTGAAGTACTTCAAGGACTTTGAGGAACTAGGAGGATTGCCATGCATGTTGTTTTGGCATCAGATATTTTTCTTTCTTTATTTAAAAATGAAATGTATCTCTCTCTGCTGATTCTGCAGTCTGTTGGAGATTTTTCTGGGTGAGGTTTAGCTGACCTCTGCCTGTCATGGAAATGTTTTGACTGTATACTGATCTGCAGAGAAGTAGTGAGTAAAAAGGGAGGGGTGTGTGGATAGTTCACAAATGCATCCTGAGAACATAAATAGGTAACAAAGAGTAAAAGATAAGGGGGCTAAGATTGGCCAAACCTCATTGTGAGCAAGGAGCACACTAGTTTTATTTACATCATCTTATTTATTTCATCAATTTATTATCTCATAACAGACTTCTCATGATTTACCACCCCTTCCATCTTTCTTTCCCTTCTCAGTAACATCTCCATTCTTCCTGCTGCCCAGACTCTGGGAACACCCTTTACTTCTCCTCTTTCTGTATATCAGCAATGTTGTTGATTTGTCCTTCAAAAGTTACCCATAATGCAATCATTTCTCAACATCTCCACACAACACCTGCTTCCAAGCCACCATCATTTTCTGCCTAAATGACAGCAATAGCTTCCTAATTGCCCCCTGTCTCCCTTGCTGCCTCTGACACAGTCTGTCTTCAACCCAGCACTTTTAAGACAATTCAGGTCATGTTGGTCCTCTGCTCTCAACTCTGCAGTGGAACCCCATGATGAACAGGCTCTGTAGGATCTAGTCCTACTTCTCAACCCCCTCCCCACAGCTCCTGATCTCCTCTCTTACTTGCTCCCCCTCTTGCCACTCACTGAATTTGCTAAGCAGTCTCCATTGCAGGACCCTGGCACGTCTGGTTCCCACTCTTTGAAAAGTTCTTCTCCAGACCTCAACATGCCTCCCTCCTTTCCTTAAGATGTTACATCATTGGACAGGTCTTTGCTGTGCACTCTGTAAAAGTATCCCTCTTGTCATTCTCTACTTGCCTACTTTGATCTATTTTTTTATATTATTTACTGCCACCTAACATTTTATATATTTATTGGTTTATTTCCTGCCTTCCTGCACTGCAATGGAAAGCGCACTGAGTGCAGAGTGATTCACTGGTCCCCAACCATTAGAGCAATGGCAGGCACATGGTAGGCGCTCCATGTATTTGTTGAATAACTAAATGAACATTCTTATCACCAGGTAACAAGAAACCAAAGTAATTTACTCAAGATCACCTTGAAAGTGGCAGAGCTGAGGTTCAAAATTTCACAGAGTCCCTGTACTTTTCTGCCTGTATTTAGACCATCTGTGAATATTTTAAGGTAATCTTAAGCAATCTAAAAATATAATTTCTGATGCCCTAGGGAAATAGAGATTTGATGATGAAGATTATATATCTGAGTTGGCTGGGTATTCTCATTTTTTTTGTTCCCTTCACTTCCAGACCAGCCTCCTGGGACTTGCCCCTAACCGAGAGGAAAGAGCAACAGCCGGGTAGTGTCCTCCGAGGGCTGGGTCCCAGCTCCATGACACTTTCTTAGGAGATTCTAGATTCTCTTCCCTTTGCTCCTCCAGTCTGAGGCATCATACTTGCTTCCTGCAGTGACTACCTGTGTGTTGCCTCGGTGACCCCCTTTTCACTTTTGCAGCTATCTATCTTCTGTGTATCCAATTTCCTGCATTAAACTCTTGATAGCCAGCCGATTCCTCTTTTCCTGACTGAACCCCATCCAGTACTCTCTTGTGGGTTCCTTCTCATTCTAAACTTTGATGTTTTTCTGAAACTATTCGGGGTGTGTCATCTGGAAATAAGATTCAACCTCTATTCTCTTATTATAACTGGGACAATGGGAGATATCAGCGGCACATGAGATCCTATGTCAAGTCCCTGGGGGACTGGGCTCAGGCTTATTTCAATCTGACCTGTGATTGGAATTTTTTTTCTAGTTTGAGCCACTAGATTGGAGCAAGTGGTTTGGGGATAGGAGTAAGTAAACTTGGACATATATTTTCTGATTCTCCATCACATGATTTTTCAAAATATGAGAACTGTCCTACAGTGGAGTGACTGCCTTGAAGTGTGACAAGTTCCCTATCATTTGAAATGTGTGAGCTGAATGATCATCTGTCAGAGCTGTTATAGAAAGAATTTTTACATAAAGTGTTATAGAAATTTGGATAGCCTATGGTTTTGTGGATCTGTCATTTTCCTATATACTATTTTATTAACTCAGTAGGATTAATACCTCAATTAATTTTTTTGTTTGTTTTTAATTTCAGGACAAGGCAATAATACTGGTTTCAAAGGAAATACTTAGATACTTTGAATACAGGCAGCCTGACTTTCTCAAAAAGTAAAGACAAGATAAACTTAGAGACTTTCAAGTATTCTTTCAAATTTAGACAGAGAGCTACTCTAAAATAAAAATTTAAAACATATCACTAGCACCTTCAAATCATAAAAACTTAATTTTTTCAAGTAAGCTATGAAGTTCATTTATTTTTTATTTTTAATTTATTTTATTTTATTTTTTTCCCATCTATTTTTATTAGTTGAAGGCTAATTACTTTACAATATTGTAGTGGTTTTTGCCATACATTGACATGAATCAGCCATGGATTTACATGTATTCCCCATCCTGATCTCCCCTCCCACCTCCCTCTCCACCCAATCCCTCTGGGTCTTCCCAGTGCACCAGGTCTGAGCACTCGTCTCATGCATCCAACCTGGGCTGGTGATCTGTTTCACCCTAGATAATATACATGTTTCGATGCTGTTCTCTTGAAACATCCCACCCTCGCCTTCTCCCACAGAGTCCAAAAGTCTGTTCTGTACATCTGTGTCTCTTTTTCTGTTTTGCATATAGGGTTATTGTTACCATCTTTCTAAATTCCAAATATATGCATTAGTATACTGTACTGGTCTTTATCTTTCTGGCTTACTTCACTCTGTATAATGGGCTCCAGTTTCATCCATCTCATTAGAACTGATTCAAATGAATTCTTTTTAATGGCTGAGTAATATTCCATGGTGTGTATGTACCACAGCTTCCTTATCCATTCATCTGCTGATGGACATCTAGGTTGCTTCCATGTCCTGGCTATTATAAACAGTGCTGTGATGAACATTGGGGTGCACGTGTCTCTTTCATATCTGGTTTCCTTGGTGTGTATGCCCAGAAGTGGGATTGCTGGGTCATATGGCAGTTCTATTTCCAGTTTTTTAAGAAATCTCCACAATGTTCTCCACAGCGGCTGTGCTAGTTTGCAAACACATAAAAAGATGCTCAACATCACTCATTATCAGAGAAATGCAAATCAAAACCACAATGAGGTACCATTACATGCCAGTCAGGATGGCTGCTATCCAAAAGTCTACAAGCAATAAATGCTGGAGAGGGTGTGGAGAAAAGAGAACCCTCTTACACTGTTGGGGCAATGCTATGAAGTTTAAAGATGAACTCAGGATGTCGCCTCTGTGTAGAAAATGTTTCTAAATCTCTAGAACATAAACTTTCAGGTCAGAGA